ACCAGTTCAGGGGCAGCCCTGTGAACACTTTCAGCCCAAATGCTGGTGGAGCTCATCTTCAGTCATGATCTGCCATGAGAGGAGTAATCAGAAATTAGAGCAAAAGTCCTTTCAGTTCCACTCTATTGACCGGGGTGGGGGAAGGGAAAAGTCAAATTTAAGCAAGGGGATGGAATTTTCTTTGAAATCTTTGTGCTCTGATGCTGCCTCTGGTGATTCAGGGTGCTGACCTGCAGCATCTCCAGCGCAGCACAGAGGCAGGCACAGGCCAGCGAGTGTTGTGCTTCTATGACAACAGCCCCGCACTCCGTGCAAGTATCATTTGATCTTATTTTCTGTGTTGTGCTTCTAACAAACCTGCTCGAGCTGGCCACATTCTGTAATTGCTTTCTTAACTGACATCTGAAAGTCACATTCTTAGCCAGGTACACTTCTGATTAGAGCAATCTAGAGGGGTTAATAGAAGCAGCAGTGCTTCAGGTAAAAGATCAGCTTGGAGTGTGCGGATGGATTCTGTGAAAGCAGAGGTAGAAAGAAGATATTGATTCCTGTATGATTAGTGGAATACTTCCTTGTTAAAGGTCTGCCTCTGACCAGCCTTCAAGTGGTGAGGGCTTCTCACTTTTTTCAAGCCTCTGTGAGTGGAATGGAGAAGTAGAGATTTTTTTTTTTTTTTTCTTTTTCACTTGAGTGCACGAGTGTTCTCAATGGCATTTGTGGAAACTACAATGTGTACGGGGAAGATAAATTACTGAAATGGACAACTCTCACTGTCTTCCAGCTTGGTGATGGTACAAATCAACCTGATGGATAATCTTTACAGCTGAGATTTCTGAGATTAAGGAGGCAGTGAGTGCATTGGCCTGAGTGTGTGCATGGAAGTCAGTCAGATGCTGAATTCTTCATTTTAGAAATTCCTGTTGTGAACACAATACATGGGTGGAAGAGCTGTTTTCTGGTACACTGATAAGAAGAAGATTTGTTCCTGTGTTTTCTGGAGTGTTTCAAAGGACTCTGCAATCTGACAGAATAGCAGCTGAAGTTCAGAAAAGAGTGTATCAAAATGTGTTGTATCCTACAGAGAAACACTTGTGGGAAGATTTTATTGCATTCAGTGCAGCTGTTCACTATTGAGCTACTGATAAATGGCTTCAGAAACTATCCTTGTTAATGCAATCTGTGAACGAAATGTCTGCTGCACCAGCCCTTCTCTGTGTGAGAAAGTTGCATGTGTTTAATTAGAGATAAACCGTCCTGCATATTGTATTGAAGTTTAAACTGGGTTGGGTTTGGTTTGGTTCCCCTCTGTGGGGAATTTAAGTTAAATTATTATCCCTATTTAAATTGCCTTTGGACAGCATTTTGGTTTATAGCTGTTTAACTACAGTGAGTTTTGAACTGTTTGTTTCGTTTTTTTGGGGTTTTTTTTTCAGTAAATGAGTGAAGTCCTGTGTGCAGGTGAGACTTAGTAAGAAGGAAAGTATTTGGCCACATGGTGAGAGTAGACACTGGAGGGAGTTTTGTTCCCAAATATGCCTATGAATCTCAGTTGAGGGGAAAATTATTTCCTTGGGTGCTGGAGAAAGATGAGTCTTGGGTCTCCACCCAATGCTTTCTGATACTGCACACAAGTAGCACAGGTCCTGCTTTGAATGAGTAGCTGCTGCTCAGACCTGTGCTGTCATTGCCCCAGTTTGCCAACCCTGTGACTCGTTATAAGGAGCCAAGACCTTTGGTTGTTTGATGTGGGGTAGAGTTTGAAACAGCATGAGAGATTAAAAGTGTGGTATAGCTAGTAAAAGGTAAAGTTTCCTTTTCCTCCTTTGTAGTAATTTGGTCTGTGTAGTTGTGTTCTGCTCTGTACAAACAGAGATAAAAAGTCAGGGCCTTGCCTTCTCCCATGAAGTGTCTGAGCTGCGTTCATTAAAGCAGCCAGGGCTGCTCAGTGAGTCCTGATATTTCAGATTCAGCTGTTGTTTTTTGGTTTCTAAATCCAGTTCAGGGTCACAGGGATCTCTGCGGCTGCATCTTCCCCCTCCCCATTCCACTAAAATTCACAACTCTCACAACCACGTAATAAAAGGGATAATTTATCCATTCCACAAGCTGCCTGCAGCCACACTGAGCCCTCATATTTTATGCAGGTGCTGTTCATTTCAATTGCAGCCTTGACAGTAGATGGGTGTTGGATAGAGTTAAAATTTCAGCTGAAACTCCTGGTGTTTCATCTTCTTACCTTTTCTTTTTTCTTCTGTAAATCTTGAGAACAGAACTTTTCTAAGGCTAAAATGGTGGTGGTGCAGGTGCTAGAAGTGCAGATTTTCCATAGAAGTCATAAAAAGAATTATTTAGGTTTATTTACCTTGCAGGCTGCTTGATGAATTGCACGGTTGGCTGCACTGTCAAAGATTTTTGTTCTTGGTTGCAGTACTGCAGTTTATTGGAGCAACAGAAGTGGCACCTTGCCACAGGAGTAAAGAATGCTGTTTCCCCACGAGTATTTGAACAGTCTGCAATAGCCATCTGTTATTCTGTTCAACACAAAGCAGTGCAACAGGTGTATTTCTTGGGCTTGGGAATCTTAGCTGTACA